AGGAAATTAGGCCATGTCTATGCAGAAGATCCAGGCTGATTCCAGCCAGAAGATGCACGGGTGCAAACCGTCTGTGCAGGTTGGCAAAAACACTGATGGAGGTTAGTCCTGTTTGAAATGGGAATAAGCCTCACTTGGTACATCTGACAGAGAGATAGCGTAGCCTAGTGGAGGGTGTACTGGACTAGGATTCAAGAGATTTCAGTTCTATTTCTGGCTCCTCTGGCATGCAGCCTTAGACAAGTCCCTGGGCCTCAGTTTCTCTAAATCTGTAAACTGGGAGTAGCGATACTGACTTCCTTTCTAAAGCACTGAGATCTGTGGATGAAAAGCGCAATGTAAGAGCCAGATGTTGTCAATCTTATGCCTGCCCTGTCCACACTACGAGACTGAGCAAGGGTGAACTGGCTCTTACCAACCTTGAAAACAGCTGCTGAAGGATTCAATCCTGTGACTTTCATCCAATCTGCTATTGGAGAGTCTGGACCGGTTGCTACCGCAGTACAAAACCACACCTGCTGAGACACAGTAACTGCGGAGAGGGTTTCCCCAGCCTGTCCAAGGCAATAACCACGCTACTGAAAACTTCTTAATGCCGGAGCAGGTTAGGGTGCAGCCCTGGCTCCCAAGGCAGGAGGTGCTGTGGAGGCAGCAGGTTCCACAGGAAGAGAAAGTCCTTAGCCTCCTATCACAGAGATCTTTCTGTGTGACCTCAGGGTTGCAGGGTGCTTCACAAGCAGAGTGATTTAAGCCTGCCAGGGAGTAATGGATTGATGATATGCAGAACAAGTGGCCAAAAATTGGGGTAATGTGCTGCAAAGCCTCCCCTCAAAAGTAGCATCTGCTATTCTAATTACATCCCTCCGAGGACACATCTTCATGACAGCTGTTTGTGCAACTGCAGCTACTACGCCAACATTGCAACCCGCAAAATTAACAACAAACCTCCAGGAGAAAAAACAGCAAGGTGCTGGGATGTGCTTTTAAAAGCCAGCAGGCAGGTTTCTCTAGTGGCCATAACAAGGGAAGGCCCTGATTTTCAGCGATGCTTAGCACCCACAGCTCCCATTGGAATCAACGGGCTCTATCAGAGCTCAGCACCTCTGAAAATAAGGCCTGGGAGTTCCAGGGTTCTAGCCCTGGGTGAGTCAGTTCACCTTTGATGTGCCTCGGTTTCTCCACTTTTAAAGTGGGGCTATTGCGTACCTTTGTAATGTGCTTTGAGATCTTCAGATGAAAGGCGATAAGTGCAAAGTATCCTATGCAAAGTGGTAGAAATGTAGCCGTGTTAGTCTGGGGTAGCTGAAGCAAAATGCAGGACAATGTAGCACTTTAAAGACTAACAAGATGGTTTATTAGATGATGAGCTTTCGTGGGCCAGATCTGAGGAAGTGGGTCTGGCCCACGAAAGCTCATCATCTAATAAACCATCTTGTTAGTCTTTAAAGTGCTACATAGTCCTGCATTTTGCTATGCAAAGTGGTAAGTATCCTATGCAAAAATTTGGAGGGGCCAATTAAAGCTGCCAAACCCAATGAGAAGCCACCGCACCATTGTATCTCCCTTCGTGCGCATGTCTGAGGAACTATTTCCTTAGTTTCAAGGTCTTGTCTAACACACTCAGCCAAATTTTCAAACAGCCACCTCTCCTGTCCCCATGGTATTTGCACATGTGCTTGGATTTGCTGGCCTCAAACCCGTGCGCTGGTGCACAAGTGGGCAGGGAGTCTGCATGTGTGAAAACATGGAGCGTATGAGCACCAGTCTGCACAAGCAGGAAAATGATTGTGAGGGTGGAAAATCTTGGGGCAGTTCAAGGGACCGGCTGGCAAAAAAACCTGAGCTTTTGCTTTATTTCACAGAGCCTACATTGGGTCAGCAAAGATTAGTATATGACAGTTAATGCACTGAATTCGTGTTGCTTGTATCACAGCAAACATGGGCGTGGGCAAACCAGCAGGGGATCTATGGAGATTGGAAGCAAACTCATACAGACCCTGGGGTGGGGCTTGGACACTGACAGCTCCACGATTCACGGCAAGACACCCAGCTGCAAGGAGGGAGAGAGAGGGGAGGAGAGGGAAGGTGGTGAGGGGAAGAGGCCACGCGGCAGATCTCTGTCTCATTAGTCCAGGCAGCAGGACAAGAGCGAAGAAGAGTATCCGTCAGGGAGTGCACATGGCTGGCACGTTCCCCAGAGTCCAAACCAGAAGCAAAGGCCAACAGAAGGAGAAAAGAGCATTTATCCTTTGCCAAGCAGAGAATAAAATATAGGACAGAACAGATGCCCAGGCTTCTGGGTTCCTGGCTAGAGGAACTGCCTGCTGGGAAGAGGAGAGGGCACTGACCATCACTGATGCACAATCCCCCCCTTTGCAAACCAAAGAGGAAAAGACCCCTGGCCCCTTCGCAGTCCCTTTCCAGGGAGAACGCAGAAGGGACCCTCACTCACCTCAGGATGTTGTCCCAATGGCACTGTGTCCCTTCCTTCCTGCAAAGCCCTATTGTCTCAACCCCACACCAGCCACTGCCCCACTGCGGAGCATGGCAGTGCTTTCTAGACCGACTCTCAGCCCCGGCTCCAGGGCTGTCATTTGAGCTGACAGGCAGCCTAGCAGGCAAAAGAAAAAAAGACTCTGGGGGGTTGACCAGATAACCGCTGACCTTCAGATCAAATTACAACCCTGGCGAGAGAGCCGGAGTCACGGATTCTAGTCCTGACACTGACCTTCCTCATTCAGCAACCTCCTGGCTGCTCTGGGCTGGGACAGTCTCTTCATAATGGAGGTAGGTGGCATCTCAGTTAACTACCGAATCGTGCCATTCGTTGGCCACCCGCACCGTGACCCTGTGTCCCATGCGCTACAGTGTGTTAAACCACAGCCACGCTGGAGGCCACCACTTGCCCACTGGCTGGGACAGGCTTAGAGTGGAGCAAACAAGAGTGGAACAAATAATTGCATTTCCTGTTTGGCCAAAATCCCCCCCCCCCCCACACACACCTGTTTATTTTGGGCTGAAACTGACATTTTTCAGCTTTCCTCACCAAAACAAAACCTAAATATGAAAAATATGTTTGGGGGTCAAGCAAACTGTTTGGTTTTTTTTGACCCAAAACAAAATTGTGTTTGTTCCATTATGTTTATTACCCTTCTAATTTAAACAAACATCAAAATCTAGCCACATTTCTAAATGCAACATTGTTTCAAAACAAAAGTTAAAATGACTCATTTTGAAAGTGCCATTTGGACTTTTTAAAACTTTTTTTTTTCATTTTCTTTTTGTTTAGCCACAACTATCTGCTGAATTTGCAAATAATTTCAGTTGCTCTGAAACTCCATGAGTAGACAAATAAGCTACAAGACTGAACATTTCCCCCCCCCCCCACATCTATTTTGAACAGGGGGACTTTGAAAAGGTGACTTGGGGAGGTCTACAGTGCCACTTGCGGCCACAGTCTTTGACACAGCGGTACAGTCTTTGGAGACCACAATTCCCACAATGCAATGCTAGTGGGGGCACCTGGGAACATTGCATGCTGGGACTAACAGCTGCAAGCATGCACTGTGATAGGAGAGAAACCAAGATCGGATCCATTACGTGGAGACTGAAGAAAGGACCTTAGGTTGCCGAGACCAGCAAAGTCCGAGTGGTTGTGCTACCGACACTCACCCTCTGCTGTAAAGCTGGTTAGGACTGGTCACAAACACAAGCAAAGCAGGCAGCTATTCCCAGCCCCAGCACAAACTCTGCTCCTCACGGGATGGCCCTATCTCTCTCTGTCTCCAGAGGCAGAGACAACTCAGGCTGGTCTGGCTGCAGCGGGTTTAGGAGTAGCAATGGCGGGGGAGGTTAGTAAGCATCAGAGGGGGAAAATGCCTCATTAATGACCCTGGAGCCACATGCGCTAGGGCAGGAAGCGTGGCATGCAGTTAGGTGGACGGCTCAGACCCCGTGCCCCGTTATTATCCCAAGGCGAGATGGTTAGGACGCCTCGAAGAGATAGAGAGAACAAACATATTTACCATTAGAAAACGTCTGGGGGGTAACGTGTTGCTGGAAGTGCCTCTCCCCTGTTTAACATTATAAAAAAGTCATTTAGAAACAGTGTCCTGCCTTTTCAGCGTTTCCATTCGTTCGCATGCTCTGCCTCAGAGCCGCAAAGCTCTCGTCCCTTTCCCCCGCCCCAGCATGCCTAGTGCAGAGACCTGAGCGTGACTCACCAAACCATACCCTTGCCCAGCCCGTCGCAACCCAGAGCAGACCGCAAGGCCTGCCACGCAGAAAGCAAGACTGGCAGGATTCAATGGTGGGGGGGGGAGGGGGAGTGAAAGAGGGGGAGGTGCAATGAGAAGTAGTGTTAGCTGGTTAGTATTTGACCTGTCTCCTCACTAGTTAGATGCTACTGCAGACTAGCTCTTTATGGGCTGCTGCCTGCATAGCATCGCCCACTCAACATGGGGCAGGATGCAATTTAGGGGGGATGTGTAAGGGGTTGTGATCTAGAAGCATGTGTACTGGGTCCAAGGGAGTCTGATTAAGCCTAATCCAGCAATTTACCAAACTAAACCAATAGCAGCAAAGATTAAGGGGTCTTCATTAGGCCGCTCACTCTAGTGTAACTTGATCAGTTTACAGTCCATTGAACTGCACTGGGGCCAAGGAGGAGCAAGCCCAAGCAGGCCAGCCTTTTAACGTACATCCTTTTCTGCTCCTTCATCGGACAGCAACTTCCACGCCCTCGTGCCCGCCTTCTGGCGTATAACTGCCCATCCTGGGAATCTGACCCCGTATCACCAGCTTCAAGTCACCAGCTGTGTTCTGCCATCAGCCGCATGGCAAATGTCCCTGTGGGCTGAACCCACCCAGCCTGACAAGGGGTGGAGCAGACCCCGGGAGAGAAAGGGAAGGGGAACACAGCCAGGCTGCAGGCTGCAGGGGGCTCAGGGAGGGGCAGACCCTGCCCAGCAGGGTGAAGATAAGCGTGAGGAAGAACGGGCCCAGAGAAGGGGCTTAGGAGTAAGCAGTATGGGACGTGAGACAGGCAGTTCCAGGGAGGTTGAGGCCTGGGGCAGGGGCTTTAGGGAGGCCAGGTCCCCAAGTGAAGGGGACACACATGCTGGTGGGGTTGCTCTGGGGAAGCAGAGGCCTGGCAAGTGGACAGGGGACAAGCTAAGGAGGCCGGAGCCAGAGCGCTGAGGTCGGGGGTGGGAGAGGGAGTTTGGAAACAAGGACCCTTGGGTTGAACCCACCTCCACTTGCAGAGGAGTCCCTGGGGGTCTTGTGGTGGCAAGGTCCATGCCAGCCCAAAGGAGGCCAAGCAGAGAGTCACAGCCAAGCTGTAACAGACCAGGCCTGGGCAGCCTCAGAACGGGGGTCTGGAGCAGTCGGAGGGGAGACAAAGCTGTAACTGCTGCTCCCCTTAAAATGGACGGCTGAGGTCCCAGGGCCTTCACTGGGTCAGGACTGGGCTTAGCCCAGGCTTCAACCTTGCTTCCCCACAGGTGCTCTGCGATCCCAGTCTGATCCACAGCAGCGGGCCAGAAGGAGCAGGAGGAGCCATTTCCCCATTCCCTGCACCTCAGGGGGTCTGGCCGAGCCAGTTCACTGAGCAAGAGCCAAGCTGCTGGGCTTGACCCAAGGGAGCAGGAGCCTGGCAGCACAAAGCAGGCGAGCATCTGGGCAGCGTTCCTCCCCACGCGCCTGAACAACGTGGAACTCATTATCCCCCGGGATGGCAAGGCGACAAGAGCCTCTGAGCACAGAGCTTAATGAGAACCAAACTCCAGAGGCAGGCGAGGCCGTGTGGAGAGGCCAGGCGGAGCCCAAGAGAGGAGGAAGGTAAAAGGGAAAGGCGAGAGGAGCGTGATCTGTTCCCTCGGCTCTCTGCAGCATGGGGAAAATTCTAACCGGCCCCCGGGCCTTCCTCTGCTACCCGGCTGTGCCCCGAGTGTCCATGCTGGACGAACCAGGGGTTGGGAAGGACGTAGGACACAAGGGCAGGGGGGTTAACTCCCGTCCAGGGCAGCACTGAAGGGGGAGCATCTCCGGCACCGCCCATCTCTGCGACTGCATAAAACCTCGTGCTTCCGTGACTTGTAGATGTGCCAGGGAACGCTGACCTCTGCCCCTCCTGCCCCTTCCCATCATATAACATCTCCCAGCCCCACAAGCCAACTGCACTGAGGCAACCGTCGGACACCCCCTCGGGCACGGCCCTGCACCTCCCATGGCGGGTGTGGGGACAGACGGGAGCCGTGGGGAACGAGCCGGACTTCCCAGGGGGCAGAGCTGCCTGTGTTACGCTGCCCCTATTCCGGCCCATGGAATGAGAGGGATGTGAGGCTGGAGGCGGTAGGCGGGGGGCAGGGAATTAGGTAATCTGATCCAGGGCTCAAGGTCAGTCAAGGGAGAGGAGCCTTTCCTGGTTAACTCACTGACTTGACCCCAAAAGCTGCTGCCAGCCACAGTTTGGTCGGGGCCATTCAAAATAAATGGGGTGGGACTCAGCTCAGGGACAGACGTCCACACAGCAGAACGCACTGGCACAGCCGGGCTGCAGGCTACACAGCGCCTGGGTAAGCTGCCCTGCTTGGCAAGACCCCGGAGCCCCGGCCAGGAAGGATCTATCCCGCACGCCCCTCTGTTCATTCCCGGCACTGAGGAGACGGGCTACAGCAGCATGGCAGAGGGCTCACAGCATCCTCACTATGAAAGACAGAAAAAGTCCTAGCTCAACGCCAGGCCCCTCGGCACCCAACGTCAGACCCTGCCTCAGTTTCTCCTCCTGCCGGATGATTCTATTAGCCGCTGAAGCGACTCTCGCCTGCAGCTCACACCCAAAGGCCCACCCCAAACACACACAAACCCAGGTCTTTGCCCCAGACACCTGCACTGGGCTCATGCCTCCCTCTAAAGGTCTTTCCACCTTCAATTATCTTCCAGCTCACCTGGGATCCAACCAGCCCCTTCATCTTCCCCTGGCTAGCCACAGAGGTCCCTAGAGAGCCCAGGACCTGACACAGCCAAACTATCTATCCTGATGTGCCAACGCTGCTCAGGTGTCTCCCTTTATTGCCAGCCCTCCTGCTCTTTAAAGAGCACCGACTCCTCAGATCCGCTCCCTGGAGTCCCCTGGCCAGCTGCCCTTTCCTGCTCCCAGTCCTGCCCTCCTGCATTCCCCACCCGGTCTGGTGGATGCAGCTGACTCGCAGCTCCCTTATAGGGCCAAATCCCAGGTGTGCTCAGAGCAGGCCTGCCATGAGCAACTCCCCAGAGAGAGGAGGCGCCAGGTTCTAAACTGATACGCACTAGAACTCGTGCTCATTTGGGATCACTGGAGACCACAAAGCTGGGGCTGCGAGAACACTGGGCGTGGTGCTCCCGGTCAGATCTCCTTCCAGCTGGTCGAGCAGTCCTGCTTGAGAGGAAAGCCAGCCCTCACCCCACCCTTCTCCCCGTGCCCTAGGCATTGCTCACTCTGCAGACCACCCTTCCCTCCATGCTCCAGAGCTCCGGCTCTTGAGGCATCTCTTCTGGGTGCCTGGAATGAGGGGGGAGGGTGTGTTCTTTCCTTGTCTCTGGCTACCTGCCCAT